TAAGAATGTTATGTGATTCCAGAATTCTGGATTCTAAACACATGGAATTTAAAGACAAGATATTGATGAGGACTGTAAAATCCCTCCTGAGATCCACCCTGGCAGAGATCATATTATGAAAACAAAATGCACAGTAAAGGCAAATTTGTAGAAATTCAATAAATACTTTACTGCTGACTTGTGCATTAAACTTCACTTGTTGAACTTCGATCAATCATATTTCAGGGTGTTTACAGATATGAACAAGTTAAATTTAAGACTTTTTAAGACCTTTTTAATACCACCTTATGTGAAATGTAAGACCAAGCCTGTGATGGAAGTACACATTATATTACATACGTATATGTAATATTTAACGTGTTTAAATGTAAAAAGAAAACAAAATATCATCGCTGTCAAAAATGCTATTTGTTATTACGATATACAGTGAACTTTTCATATCAGCAGACAATATCCCATACAAAATATTCCCACAAAACAAGTGTCGCATCACCGAGATTTTTGGTGGTGTAAACAATTTATTCTGAAGCAATAATTTCATTAGTTTTCTGTCAGCTTTAACATACTTAAATCTGCATGTTTTTAATATTTACCACAGGATGTCATTTACCTTTATAAAGGCCAATATATTTTTTTTACCTTATTAAATGTATGCGTCATCTTTCAAGTCAAATTCTTACAATTGATCAAGAAATTTAACACACTACAGGGCTGTTACCAATCAAATTAAATAATTACAAAATTACAACAGCAATAAATAATGTTATGGGATTAATGTTGTAAATAAAATTTTGAACATACAAATAAGAAATGTTGGGGAAAAATGCATACTTGGTGGCAGTAAGTCACTTATTCATTCAACCGATTCCTTCAAACCTCTGAATCATTCAGTAACAAAAACGCCGGTGTTGCTTGGAGAATGTGTGCAATAATTCTGTTCTGATCTTTGTTTGGAACTATTTTCGTTGGTGAAATAGAACAAAACAGTCAATTGTGTAATCTGAATTTAAGACATTTAAGACTTTTTAAGGCCTTATTTTAGGAAAACTTTATTTAAGACATTTTAAGACTTTAAGGACCCGCGGCCACCCTGTATTTACATTTCACCATATAACGAATTAAAATGACTTTCAGGTTTGATTCATAAATAAAATAAGAATGTCTTAGCCTATCTAATGAGAAACGTGTTCCGCAACAGACCTCTAATTGAGTGTATGTGTGAGATAAATGAAGAGAGAGACACACTTGAGCTGGTGTCATTAAAGCAAAAGGTGGATATACCTCAAGTTGTGTCAACAAGTTTTGTCAACTTTTCACTCAAATTGTTATACTGACAATATAATTTGTGATTAAAAAATACATTCAAACAGAACAGAAGCCAGAGGAGGTCCTCATTTAGAAAAAGGTGAGAGGGTAGATTACTACAGCCTTCAGGTTGATTGAGATTAAAAGAAGACTACTACATCAAAACACAAATTGTATAGTTAGGGATAAAAGATTTTGTTGGGCAGGCTCCATCTTAAATGCAAGCACCTAGAAGAGAATATGCTCGCCAAAACAAGGAATGAAAAGAGTGCACACACAATCTCAATCTATAGCCAAATCATCTTATTGGCAAATGTCTGTTCTGTCTACTGTTCTCCTATTACTCAGTCTGACAATCTGGATTTAACATACACACTTTATCTATCCAACAAACACACATCCATACACACAGTCTTTTGCCTTCCTATAAACCTTTCAGTAACCTTAACCAAAATGACACATTCTTTCAATAAAATCTATCCCTGAGCTCACTTCTGCTGCTGCTGCAGTCACCCCACGTGTACGCTGATCCAAGCCCAATTATTTCAGCATCCTGCCATTGCTGCTAATAAATCAGCAGGTTAAAGTTACCAAATAGAGGGGAGAGCATTTGAGGATTTGGGTCCCATCCCCAGAGTCCAAACACTTGAACCCCCCTCCACTTTCTCCTTATTACTCCCCTCACTAAAATACGCATGATGTCATGGTCTGAAAAATGATAGCAATTAATCAGAGCTACTGAATCCTACCCATTCGACTAATCACAATTATACAAACTGAATCATCCTCAGAGGCAGAGGCCTGCAAACTACCACACACCAGAGAAAGAAAGAGAAATTAAACTTTAAGAGACAGTCCAACTTTGCAGTACTTTTGTCATAATGACTGCACTGGCTGTCTGCACCTGATATATAATATTTCAAGATCAGATCAAAAAAATTGACATTCGACTTCTTGACTGAAAAACAGCTAGAGGTTTTTGAGAGGCAGCCAGCATCTAAAACTGCTGAGGACTTGGGCCACAGGTCACACTATACCTAACCAAAGCCCAATGTTTATTGAGAGGAAAGAAGAGATTTATTTTGCATTTCATTTCACATAGAAGAAAGTAACATGCACAATTTCACTATAAAATTGAGTGCTGATCGACTACAGATGTTAAATCTAAAATCTGGACGCATCTAATCTGGAACGCATTTGAAATCCATCATTAATTTATGCATTTATTTTTTAATTTATGCATTTTAGCAGACGCTTTTATCCAAAGCGACTTACAGTGCATTCAGGCTATACATTTTTTACCAGTATGTGTCTTCCCTGGGAATCAAACCCACGACCTTTTGCGCTGCTAACGCAATGCTCTACCACTGAGCCACAGGAACATTAATTAATAATTAATAACATTAATAATTGTCCACTTATACACCCTTTTTTAGAACTTATAAACATAATCCTGTAGGGCCATTCACAAAAACAATGGAACTGAACAGAAGGTGTGTTTATTATGAATGGTCTCTCATACATAAAGTACTAACAATTAATATAATTAATTGTGACATTTTATATAGCACTTCAAAAATATTTAAAGCACCTTGAGTATTTTAAGGAAGAAAACCACCTCCAGTGTGCAGCATCTACCTGGATGATGTGACAGCAGCCATAGTGCACCCACCACACATCTGTTAATTGTTGGAGAGGAGTGATTAAGCCAATCAATAGATATAGGGATGATTAGGAAGCCATGATGAACAGAGCGCAGCGGGCAAATTTGGTCAGGATGCCAGGGTTATACCTCTACTATTTTCAAAGGGCTTCCTGGGATTTTTTTATGACCAAAGAGGTCAGGGATACAGTTTAACGTCTCATCCAAAGGATGGTGCATTTTGACTGTACAACATCCCCATCGCTAGGACACACACAGACCACAGGGTGAGCACCCCCTGCTGACCTCACTAGCACCTCTTGCAGCAGCAATCTACTTTTCCCAAGAGGTCTCCCATCCAAAGTACTGAACAGGCTCAACCCTGCTTAGCTTCAGTGATCAACCAGGTGAGAGGTTCAGAGTGATAGCTGCTGGCTTTAATGTACACTACCATTAAAAAGTTATTATTTGATCAAAAATAGTAAAAACGGTCATATATTAAAATAAAACAACTATTTTAAATTGTAGAAATATTTCACTATTTTAAAATGCAATTTCAGTCAGTCAGTCAGTCAATTTTATTTATAGAGCACATTTAAAAACAACAGCTGTTGGCCAAAGTGCTGTACAAAATTTAAGCATATACCAAAATACAAAAGTAAACAGAACACAGCGACAGATAGTACACTACAGTTATGCCTGCCCGCTTACTTATGACCATATGCAACAGTAAATAAATAAGTTTTAAGAAGAGACTTAAAATCAGCGTATGTTGGTGCAGTTCTTATATAGGGTGGCAACATGTTCCATAGCTGCATATGCAACAGTAAATAAATACGTTTTAAGAAGAGACTTAAAATCAGTGTATGTTGGTGCAGTTCTTATATAGGGTGGCAGCATGTTCCATAGCTGAGGAGCAGCCACTGAAAAGGCACGATCTCAATTTATTCCTGTGATGGCATTTACTAATATACTGATTTGGTGCTCAAGACACTTTCAAGAAAAATGTATTTTTATCAATGTTAAAAACTGTTGTGCTGATTAATATTTCTGTGGAAACCGTGATACTTTTTTAATTCTTTCATGAATAGAAGAAACAGCATTTATTAAAATAAATAAATAAAAATGTTTAGTCACTTTTGATTAATTTAATGCATCGTTGCTGGAAAAAAAAACACTATGACAATGCAGTCTATTTAGATGCAATCAAAAACTAGTTAGCCATCACATGTATTACAAGTATAAACTGGTTATAAAATCAGACATAAGGTCTTGTCAGGCAGACAGATAGTATCTTAGGTCTAGAAATGAGCAAGTCAACATCAGTCCAGGAGTGTTATGATACACTACCACCTCCAATACATTTTTCTCCCAACAAGCACTTTAGTCCAGCATATTTGTTGTTACGTAGTAAAAGAAATCTAATACATTGGCAAACCACCCAAAAACTGCTCAGCTAAATACAAAAAGATTTAATATGACATTCTGGGATTCTCGAAACTCAAGAATGCCAATAGATGTCAATGCTCATTCATTGTCACTTTCAAGTACAGTACAGCCTCAAGCTTGAATCCAAACAGGTTTGGGTAACTGATGACTATACGAGTAAACAGAGGTCTTGATTCTGACAGCTCGCAGAGAAATGAGATGAAATAGAGAAGCGAAAGTTGGCCAGAAATCTGGCCTAGAGAAAGCTGTCAATGACAAGTAAGGGAAAGAGGAACAGACACATACATCTATGCGCCGCAGGAGACCACTGGACACAGAGCGGGTGAGAGCGTCTGTAAGGTAATGCGGAATGTGGCTCGTGTCATGTTTAGACGAAGGATATGTGGTCACTCAGGAACTAGAGGATAAGGGTGAACAGGGAGCGCGAGCCAAACACATCACTAACACTATCGCGTGAGTGCGCGTGTATTTATGTGCTTCATGTTCACAAGAGTGTTTTCCACCATGTGAGCTTGAATTATGGCCGCCCCTGTGTGTCTGGCTTTGACAGTATGTGGAAATTTGCATGTGTTTCTAAGTGTGTGTGACAAGGAAGTTCTCTCACCAAAGGCTCTTTATTCTTGACCAGTCGAATGATCTTGACAGAATCTTCATCATCATCAATGTCGTCTGGCAGAGGAGGAAGTTCTGGATCGTAACTCTTCCTGGCCACAGTATCATGAACTGACAACAAACTCTGCAACGAGAATGAGTTGTACACATAAAAAAAATCCACAGAAGTGCACACAGTAAGACAAACAGTAGTCGTTTGACTGATTTTGTGTAGCTACTCATTTTGGCTAATCATTCCAGCCTTCATACTCCAAGCATCTGCTTGAATCCTATAGTATAAATCATGGAGCTTTAGAGGTCTGCTTTAGATTACTACCTCCTACTGACAAATAAAGCTGCTTTTGAATTGATTACAATCACCATTTCACTACAACCCTCTTTGGCAATGTTGTTTGTTAAAGTGTCGCCAGCAGGAAAAAAAGAACTGAATCAAAACCAAGACCAATCATATTGTCATCTTTCATTTGATTCGATTATTATGAGTATTACGAGTATCCTGCTGGGAATATGGCAGCATTGCTGTGAGTTTCCAAGGGGTTAGCATGCTTTATGGCAGATGGATGGACCGAAGGCAATGAAGTTCTCAGCCATTTCAGATATTTCACACCTCGGCTATCAGAGAACGAGCTATAGCAAAAGAATGACAGCATTCAGAGAGTTTTAATGATGCTGTGTGTCAAATGCAGCTGGAAACTTTTTCTTATGCTCTTTTTCTCCCTCACATTTCCAATATAAAACCATCTTCCAGTTGTGTGCCAGAGATTAAAAAAATGGGAGGGAAGAAAAAAGAAAAAAGAACAAAAAAAGAAAGAAAGAGAAAAGAGACAAGACAGAAAGGAGAAGAAAAGTGTCTGTTTTATGACATGGGATTAAGCTCCAGAACAACACTCAACATGTGGTTAAAGCAGAACAGATGGGAGAGAGAGAGAGTGAGGGAGAAAAGAAACAAACAGGGAGAGAGAGAGAGTCATGTGTCTAGTAAGCAGGTCAATTTCATCAGTCCAGATTTTACTGAAAATTAGATATTAGAATTATCTGATAATTAATTTGTTTTTGACAGATCTGGAGTGTGTTCTGATTCCTGGACAAATGACTCCAATTAGCCAATTCACTAGAAAATGGGTTCGAAGGGTTACTGAATCTACATCTCACTCACTTACTGTATGTGACTTTCTTGCTGAACTGCAAATTATCATTAATTTCGGTCATGTTCATCTTGAAATGAATCAAGAAGGTTTGAGATACTTAAAATCAGCATTATTAAGGACTAGCTGATCATTTGACAATGTGTAGTTAAGGAAACACATTTGCAACTTATTTAATAAATGAAATGAAGACCTACCACGGTGATACAAAATTGGCTCTCATTATAAAATAAACCTAATTTCTGATTGGACTATACACCTGCCAATCAAACACATCCACACACTATGTTTAGAAACAAGTAGTATATCATGTAAGATGTAAACAACTTAGAACAACTATAGACACGAAAAAACTTTCCCAATCCCTGTAGGGTACAATGTTGTTTGCGTCTACACTAAACACAGCTCTGCAGATTAGATTGAATGGTGCAGTTGTTTTAAGCAAACTTGAAATGGAACATTTTAAATTGCAACTGAGTTGCCATGCATTTCTTCTGTCCAAGTCCTCCTCCAGAAGACAAACAGACACACACATTGTGACCTGGATTCTTCCAGATGACCAGATCTATTCTTTCACCAAGTAAAAAAAAAAAAAAAGAAGAAGAAAAAAAATTCACCACATAGTGTTATGCTTACACTTGAATAAAATGTCACAGTATAAATATTATTAAAGCATCGAGGCATTAACCATCTGCAACCACATTTTAAAAAATCTTTTCTGAAGGCAAAATCAATGTGGTGTTGCGTTTCAGTTTTCTTAAAACATGCATGCAGCTTGTCATGCCAACACAAAGCCACAATTTCTCATTTCATGCATGCAAAGCTGAAGATGGAAGAACAATTCTTCATCACTTCTTTCGATATTGGATAATTGTTCATGCTCATTTCTCCTATTTTTACATTTAGACTACCTTTGCTGAATCAGCATCTAATGCTCGCTTAAAGTTAATCGTGGAAAACACTAATTTACTTAACACTGTTAAATGTAATCTTTAGCCAATGAAAATGAATATCCATTTTCATACTGTGCACTATAATGCTGTGATGTCATAACTATTAAAAATATGTTTTTGTAGACTTTTTATTCTTGAGTGGATCAGTGTGCGGTTAGCCACCCTCTTGCTCATTTTCAGATGTCATAACATGAAATAATTATTATCTTATCTGTATTGTGCACCACATAGCAACATGCTAAAAGTCATTCAAATCACATTAGCAACTGCATAGTAATGTCATAGAGAAGCAATCTAGTCTCTAACAACTACTTCACTACATAAATACATGATGAACAGTTGAAAACATTTAAATAATTCTTCCTATGTACAGAGGTCAAGAAACCAATGAGTCAAACCATATTTTTTGATTTTCCGGGGAAAATAGCTTCACTCTTTTCCCACAGAATCTGTCTACAGTCCAACAACTCACTATCCTGCCATGTACAACACACTCAAACTCAAAACACACTCAAACTCAAACACACACACTCAAACTCAAACACACACACACAGAGTCTGGTTTACTATCCTTGTGGGGACTCTCCATAAGCATCATGGTTTTTATACTGTACAAACCGTATATTATATCACCCCACACCTAAACCTACCCCTCACAGAAAACTTTCTGCATTTTTACATTCTCAAAAAAAAAAAAATAATAAAAATAAAGATTTATAAGCTTGTTTCCCCATTGGGTCCTCAATTTAGGTCCCCACAGTGACACGAGTCCCCATGAGTTGGTGTAAATTCAGGTTTAAGTCCCCACCTATGGAGCCAGAATGGCCTCAAAAATAATACATTTATAAAACAAAATTTATAAATGCACAGCACAATTTACATTTACAAAATCCGATTCGTAAATTCAAAACACAATTCATAAATACAGAAGTAAAAGCATAAATATTTCCCCAAATGCTCACACAAAAGCATCTTACCTAAATAAATTTAAAATGTTTACACAAATATGTATATATCAAGTTCTTGAATTAATTTCCATCACACATGTATGAATGATGTTACATGTATTTATGAATCGTTGAATCTGCATTTGCAAATCATCACACATGCGTGGACTGCTTTGAATTTGTGCGAAATCTCCGAACAATTGTGTTTTGAATTTACGAATCGGATTTTGTAAATGTAAATTGTGCTGTGCATTTATGAATTTTGTTTTATAAATGTATTATTTTTGAGGCCGATCTGGCTCCATACCCACCGGGATAGAAAAACATGCGCACGCACACACATACACAGCTATAAAGGATGTTTTGTGGAGTGTGGAGCTAAACTCTCTCCTGAGGTTGGAGGAATAGGGTCAACATCAGGCCAGGTGGCAAAAGAGTGAATTGAGGGTCAAAATCAGTATCTCATTTCTTCAGGTACTCTTGCCATGTGTCTGTGTGTGAGCATGTTAATTAGTTATACTGGGCCTCTTACAATAACAAATTGCTGAACTTGTTTAAATAAAGTCTGGGAAATGTAACTGGGCATGCAGCTCTCATTAGGAAAGAGTTTGCCATCTGAACAGTCATTATTCAAGCTGCTGAACTAACTACCCATACACACCGCATGCACAAAATCTGTACATATGCGAAAGAGAAAAGGACAAAGTAAAACACCTCTATCTATTTTCCTACACAAACTCGAGAGCCACTCATCACCATCTCTTTCTCGCTCAGACCAGAGCAGCTCTTTCTTTCCGCAACACGCGGGTTGCTGTAATTGCCGCTTTCATCAATGTCAATATAAGTCTGTAAGCGGGTCTAATATGAGTAAAATGTGTTTTTTCATGTGTGAATCATACAGGAGGGAGGAGGAAAGAGATCGCTTAATAGGTTCTGATTTATGTCTGGTCGGAATGGATCATTTCACCACTAATTGAGAGCGATACAGTTACTATCGTACAGAGATGCCATTCTAGTCCCCAGAAGCCATCTGCTAGCGCTTTACACAGCACCAACAGACACTGGGTTAAAGACATAAAGAAAAGAAAAACAGATGAAAGAAAATAAGAATAAAGAAAGAAGGACAGAGAGTACAATGATGGTGTAGCCAGACTAGTACAGATTAAAGGCGATATACACTACAGTTCAAAAGTATGGGGCCAGTAAGCTTTGCCATCACAGGAATAAATGTCATTTTAAAATATATTATATAAAACAGTTATTTTATTTTAAATCTGTTTATATCTCAAATAAATGCAGCTTTGATGAGCATAAGAAACTTCCAAAATCATAATAAATAAATAAATGTGTACACAATCAGTCAAAAGTTCAGACATGCTTGTTATTATTTAATTATTATTATTTATGTTATTAATGCTTGTTATTATGTAATTATTTAAATTATAAATAAAATATTTATTTTATTTATAATTTATAAATAAATAAATAAATTATTTATTTATTTCTGAGTTTTATTTCATAGATGTGTCACTTGATACTTTCGATGACTAATATTGCTCATAAATGTTAAAAACAGTAATAATAAAGAATGAGTAGACTTGTTCAAACTTTTAACAGGTAGCGTAACAACATTTAATGTTATATCTGATGTCATTTTTTTGGTTTTTGTTTACTCCCTTACCTTTATATGTGGTTTGGACAGTAGCTTGACAAGCTCTCTCATCTCATTACTTGCACTTTTTCCCTGAAGTTCCTCCGTCAACTGATAGAAACGGACAAAAAGGATAGCAAGAGAGAGAAACAGAAACCAGAGAGCGAGAGAAAATGAGCATCGATAACATCCATGAACACATGCATTGGTCATACAGACATGAACACACATATATTATGAATAATTGGAGTATAAATGTCTCCCTTGTGGCAGGTAGCAGGTGGAGAGTGTGCGTGTATGTTTAAGAGATTGAGATTTATAGTAGCGCAGACGCACACTAAATGAAGCACAGAGACACGTTGCTGAGCGAGGAGAGAGACAGAGAGAGATGAGCTTGTTCCCCAGGTCCATTTGAAGTGTTACTCCTGGGCCACAACCTTATTACTGACCCCACTCACTCTGGATCTGTGTGTGTGTGTGTGTGTGTGTGTGTGTGTGTATGAGTGAGTCTGCTGAGCTGCTGTAATCAGTGTTTGAAGAATCACTCCCTTAGGATGTCAGTAGACTTTTCCAGTAACCAGCAAAATGGGAGGTGACGTTCAATTGACTAATTGTGACAGTGACCCTTAGTCACACACACACACACACACACACACAATATCATGTGTACAATAGATACATACCAACCACTGTGGCTGATGTCATAGCAAGCAGAGGTCACATATGGAGGAAAAACAGCACGTGCACATCCGGGATCAGTCTTATATGACTATGGTTTTGCACATGTACAGTACAGTATACAGTGATGCAGAGAAGTATTTGGACACTTAGTGCACACTTAAAATGTACAAATGAATGAATTTATGTAAATTTGTTTTAAGTCTATAAATGAAGTCTTTGAATAGTTCATAAATATTTAACCGTGAACCTCGCAAATGCTGGCAAATCCAGCTGTTAGAACTTCGTTCTATCCAACATAAAAACACATGCACTCTGGGCGTGATGGTCCATCTGTGTGAATTGGATGCGGACAGGACAGTTGTGCTGTCATTGGACAGGCATAAAATACAAACTCTAAATGCTTGATTTCAAATTATGCTGCACTGTTGCCTGTTTTCCACTATGTCATATTCATATCATATTTATTGCGTACGGTATGTAAAAATAGTTGTCTGATCATTGAGAAAATATGATTCCCAGTGTGCACAGACTTACCAGATTACTGAGTGCACTGCTGATTCCCTAGCATTTTATCCATGTTTTTAACATTTCATTTATTATTGAAAAATACTATAATAGGATTACAAATCAAGAAGTTGCTGTCTGAAGTATTAATCCGTTTATTTTACAGTTTATTTTTTAAAATCATAATTAAATTTTTTTCCAAATGATTAATACATTTTTCTTAATTAATTTAGTGAATACCATGTAAAATAAAGAAATGTCATTGCAGCAATTGTTACGCATGTGTTTAAAATGCAATATTATATTGGATTTATATTTTAAATATCCATATCAGATGACCACTACAAAATATCTATGAATCATTATTTTAAAGAAAACACTTCACAAAAACTTGTTTAAATTTATAACAACATATTGTTCAAAATCAATTTAAAAATCTGAACGCAATTAAAACAGGACATTATTAATTGCCATTAAATGTCCAAACACTGGAAACTATTTACTGACAATTGTGTGTTTTGGTGGTTAATCAACCAAGAAACTTCATCTCTTGCAAAACAGTCTCTTGATTTTTGATAATATGGCCCAAAAACTCAATTGCAGACTAATATTCATCGTAAATCAGTTAGAATGCCATACAAAGTGGCCTGTTTTCATCTTACAACAAAAAAAATATTTTAAGATCTGCAGCTTTTGTTTCTGACAGCAAAAATCACAGCACATCTGGCTTATGACATCTGTATTGTGTCTGGCAATAGAATGATCATCTAAAATAACTCTACAAGCGGTTTCAATTAATCAATCAGGGATATAGTTTTGCTGCTCTGGTGTAATCTGACATAGTTGTTATGCATTTGCTTGCCTGACGTCTCCAGAACAGACTTCTGCATTTGAGAGGTATGAGCGGAGTGGAGTATCATCCAGCAGGCTCTGGAGCGCTCCATTTTTCCACAGTCTAATGGAAGACACCAGGGACTCAATGAGGACTTTAATCTGCCAATTGTTTTTATTCAGACCGAGTCCTGCATGTGGAAGTAGCATTCTTTACTGCCTACCTGTGGCCAGAATGAGAACTGCACACCTGTTGCTTAACTTCATACTGTTGTTCAGAATACAGTGTGTGTATTTCATCTTTGCTAAAGCTTTCTGTGGAAATGTGTGTGTGAGGTGCTTGCCTGCTGCGTCAGTGCTAGACAGCATCTTGGGCCAGGTGGAGGTTAAAATGGCGTTTTATGATACACTATAAATTAAAGCTCCATTAGCGAAACTTTACACTCGAATGCGTGGCGGCAGCAAACCCAGTACAGCGTTCAAAACAGCAGCACGCCGTATATTCCTCACAGCAATGGATGAAAACGATATGTCTGAAAAAACACAGGAGGGGGCTGTGAGTAATTTGGTTGCTTTGGCTGTTCGACCCTTTGATGGACCGCGTCCGCACGCACACGCAGGTATCGGGTTATCTGTGTGTGGGACCTTTAGGGACACTGAAGGAAAGTGTAAATCTGAGGGGCGGATCTGAGCTGCAGGCTGAGAAAGTTCCGTAACGGAAGTCGAGATTTAGGGAAACACAAGATGGCTGGTAGCCACCGCCTACTGAGACATGAGTGAACAGGAAACGGACGTGTATCAAAGCTGATTAGCTCTTCCTGGATCAGCGAAGGATGTAGATTTGAGAACAAAAACAACACTGTTTGAACAGACGTGGCATCCTTTATTACATAAATTCACTTCGGAATAGTCTGGATATTCAAATAATTTTTGCTCATCTTAAAGTCAGTGATGACCTGAGATGCTCTTCTCTGAATCGCCTTTGTGTTTGTTCTTTCCTTCTGTCTTTCCTCTCTCTGATCATATCCAGAGTAAACTCTTCAAAGTTTACATAGGTTTGTGTGTGTGTGTCTATGCGGCAATGTTGATATAGTAGTCAGTTTACATTATGCAAGCCATTGAGAGTTTAAACGTTGAGTGTTTTATAACACTGATGACTAATGTCTTGTACAGACACACACAAAATACTCCACGTCTCGCACTCTCATCTGCAGCCCATATACTTGTGTTCTCTGCCTCAGACATCCATCCATCTTTTTTCTTTCCTTTAATGACAAGTTCCTCCTGGAGTCAGTCTTACGCTAGACATGCTGGGAGACGTCTGTGGATGTGTTTTCACAGGCACACATTGTGCATGTGTGTGCGTGTTTATCCATGCAGAAGTGTGTAAATTTTATGAGCATAAAAGTGCTTTGGTTTTTAACAGGAAGTGTGTGCATGTGGTTCACTCACGTCTTGAGCCAGTGAGCCGGCGCTGTCCAGTACTGGAGTTGGAGTGCGGTCTTCATAACACTGTAACTTCTCATGGATCTAATAGGCAGTGAAACAGGAAACAGAGTGATCACTTAAAGTCAATGTGGAATCTAAACTGACCCCGTTTACTTTCCTAATGTTTACTTTCCAATGTGCACCTTCCAATGTTCCTGGTCTTTTTGTGAACTATTAATTTTTTACCTAAATAACCAATGTAATTTTTAACAATCTTTAAACAAATTTTGACAACAAATTTATTTTATTTTCCACTCACATCACTTAAATCACACAGTTATTGGATAATGTTAACCAATAGCCAAATTAAGGAGGACTCAACATTGAAATTCTATATGACACTTGTTAAGCCAATAATTATTTTCATGTTATCGTCAATAACCAACAGATGGGCAATGTTAAAATTCTACATAATTTTGCCTAAATATATTAACAATAAAACACTAAAAAACTATTTCAGTTTTTATTAAATTTAGATTTATTACTACATAATGTATAGCATTTTGATATTTGCCAAAGATTACATTAGTATTATTAAATTGTCAATTTATTCAATTATTTCTTCCTATTTATTTTTAATTGAATATCCTGTTTCTGAGAAATACATATCATTAACAGGTTAAACACTGATGATTAACATACAAAATAAAAGTAGAATATGTGGTAGGATAAAAAAATAGAAAGTAAAGACCGTCTTCCGACAGGTTTTTAAATGGCTGTCCATTGTATTGGTTGTGTAATATCTGTTCTAGTGCTGTGTTCAAAATATCAATACGACGATGTATCGTCACAGAGATTTGACGATACGAGTATCGATACAGCTGTCCCTGTATCGATACTGTGGCACGTGTGCAGCAGTGGACCACGCTTAATTTGTTTAAAATTTTACAACGTTTAAAATTGAGTAGAAAAGTGCGAGGATGAATATGAATAGAGCATAATATATAGGCTACAACAAGGTTTAACCTGGCCGCAGAGGAAAACAACTGGGTTGCCTGATATAAAGAGACGTAATCCCCAAAACAGAGCTTCACACTTGCGCAATACGGAAATATCTGCTAAATGTGCTACTTATCTTTGTCAACCTGGCAACCCTGTGTACGCGCGCTCTCTCCACTGTGAATAAACACACTTGCTTTCTGAAAACACTGGTTAGCTTGCAGTTTAGCGATCTCCACTTCAATACTCTATTCTCAGAAAAGTGTGATTCATCAACTGTTCATTTATGAGAGAGAGAGAAAGGGAGAGCGAGAGAGCGATAGAGAGGCTGTGTATGTATGAATTACCACCGTTTTGCCGCGTTTCTCTATTAACAGTAAAGCTGTGGCTTTAATTCCTTTAGAAACAATGATGCTACCAGCTCCTTGTTGAAAAAGATAATGTAGCTCTTGAGCGATTAAGCTATTTAGTTGATAAAACTGCGGGGCAGCGCTAAAAAGTTTGTTCCTGAATGTCTGAGTGCGGCCGCAACGTGATCTGCGTGAGTGACTGAGCGTGTGTGTGCGTTAGATTCAGAAGACAGCGCATTAGTTTAGAACTCTTCTAATT